GGCTTCCCTCCCGAACTCGGCCTCCGCCATCACCATCCACAGGCTGCATCGGCCCGAGCTGCACCGCGGGGCAGCGGCACTGGTGCTGTATGCTCACCCACCTCCAGCACGCAGGGGAAGGAGAGCGAGACACCTCCTCAACTCATCCAAAGTCAACACATTTTGTTGTTGAAACAGATCTTTAATACCAGTAATAATATTGGGAGTGACATCTCAGTGCAGAGCAACACAGAGAGACTACAAATTCAGAGGTATCCCCATTCCAGACACAGGAAGGAAACATGAGGGGAAACATGCAATCAAACAATGATCAGCTTTAGGTACATCATGAGGTTTGGTCCAAAAAAGACAAACAAAACCCCACCACACTGGAGCAGACGGTGCAATTACTATAGCACGCTGCTCCGAGCGAGGTCAGGGCGTTGCGTCGGCGGCATCACACCCACTGCTGCCCTCAGCGCACCAGGGGGGCCTGCTTGAGCGAGATGAGCACCGAGCGCATGCGGGACACATCCTTCGCCTGCTTGCTGGCCTTGGGGTTGAAGTCGCACAGCTGCGCCACGCGCTCCCACTCCGTGCCTGGAAACACGTCCTCCGCGTTGCTCACGAAGGCCTCCTCGGCAGCCCTGCAAGGAAGGCAGCGCAGCGCAGGGGTTAGAGCCCGCACGGGGCTGCACGTGGGGCGCCGGCGCTGGCGCCGCACACCAGGGTCACTACCACAGCGCTACTCCGCAGCACGTGACACTGAAGGGGCAGCGAAGGGTTTACTTAACTGTTCTAGGCTGTAGCAAGGATGGTTTATGTTTGTGCTTAAAGGTGAAGAGAAGAAAAGAAACAAGGAAAGTTAAAGTCAGATACAGAAAATGGGAATGAGCTCGTGCAGATGGTTAGCTAGCTGGGCATGCAGGTGCGGCCTGGCCTGCGCTGAGGAAATGCTGCCGCTCACACTGCGCGGCCCTCGGGCTGCACGCACGCTCTGGGAGCAGGGGGTTTGAGCGGAAAATCTGTCAAAGGCAGCTCCCGCAGATGGCAGAGCACAGTCAAACGACCCAGCAGTCCAGCACTTCAAGCTTTGCGTCACATCCCCCACAGGCGGGCAGGGGACCCCCGCGCCGCGTCTGCGCTGCTCAGAGCCTGGCACGAGGGCACCACGTTGCAAGCTGCCCCTCCGTGCCGTGCCTGCCCTGTCGGCCGCGGGGCCAAGGCTTGCTTGAGGGTTTGGGGAATACATGGGCAGACGTTCATCCCCTGCCATGGGCACATGGAGGGAACGTTCTCCGTGGAGGTGACCCTAGGGAGGCCGCACACGCAGGGCTGCGGAGCCAGCACAGCCTCCTGCAGAGCGGCATGCGGCGCCCCGGAGACACCTCTAGCTGCTGCAGTCTGCTCCAGAGCCCTCAGCAGCCGCCCAAGGAGCAGCC